GTGAATAACAGCAGTAATTGAGGGAGTGTTAGATTTAGTGGAAGAACTAGTTGATATTTATCTGGTTGTGAAAAAGAAAAAAAACGAAGCCAATCAAAGGTTATTTTGTGGTCGTTGTTGGTGTTGAAATGGGAGGAGAGAATTTAAACTAACCTTAGCATATACCCCCGGCATCATAAATGGTTGAGAAAGAGAGAAGAATCTTGTCGCACAGTCGCTACTGCATTTTATTTGGGTAGTTTAAGATGGAGTTTTGTGTTAGACAGGTCGGATTTTTTTTTTAGTCCTGTGTCTTGCTTAATGGGAATATCGGTTGCTTTTAATGGTTCTGATTGCAAACCTTCAACAGCGATAGTGTCTCGATTGTTTTTATTGACCAATTTTCGTGCATTCTCTCGTGTTCCCCTTGTTTTTTAAGGTTTCAGAGTAGACTATCGGGTTTAAGTTTTCTAGCGATGGGTAGTTTTACTTCAAATGTTACTGTTTGTTGTCGTAGGTGTTGGTTGGTGACAACAATTACAGGAAAACTGGTAATTAGGTTTCTTTTGTAGCGGTTAAGTAATTTTTTTCTTTGAAACGCCTAGAGCTGGACATCATTTTGACTTATTTTCTGTGGACTTATTATAATAAATCTGGAAGAAATGGCGACAAATGGTAATTTTAGAAATGAAAAGAAAACGATAATATAAATGGTTCATGTGGTTGTGAGATTTGTTGGGAGCTTTGTTTTGCATTTGCCATTTTTTTCTGTCCGTTAAATGTCGCTATAGTTTATCATTTGGAGAGAGCCAATAATTCTGAAAGTGATGTTTCTCCTTTCGCTTTCTTTTTTTTTGAGATTTTGTTTCTATTTTATTTTGTTGTTGAAAATTTGTCTTGGTTAGGGATATTTGAATTTTTGTTTTTAGCACAGTATTACCGAGAATGCAATTTAATAATGCGTAGATTTATTGGATTGCTAAAAAAGTTGGTTTGACGTAACGACGGTCAAAAATGTTGTGTGGAAGCAGCTGATCTTTGATGAAGTTTTTTGCATAATTTTAGTTACCATTTTAATGAGGATTTGTTTTGTCAAGAATTTTTTTAATGCTGAAGTACTGTTTTTTTAAGTGTGTTAGTAAGTTTGAATTGAGCATTATTTGCTTGTAATGGAAGTGACGCTGTAGTTTTCAAAAAAACGATCATTACAACGGATGTATACAAATTTTTTTGCGAGTATTGAGTGAAATCACAGCTGATAGGGTGTGGATAGTGATACTACAGTTACTTTTGCTGTTTGACGATATGGACAACTGGAAGGTGCTGTGAACTTGTTGATTTTTGAGGCTTCTTACTGCCTATCGAGTGTTTCTTGTTCACTCTTCTTTTTTCGTTTTATTTTCCTGCTTTAAAGGGAATTTTGAAAAAAATTTTTATTTGTGTATGCTTGCAACAAGAAGAGTTATTTGGTCTAAAAGTTGGTAAATTTTGTTAAAAAATGATTTTGGGATTTTTCGCTTATCGTTACATCTGCTTGAAGGTTGTAATTTCGTGATATCTGCTGTTGTTAAAGTAAGTGAGAAGGCTTTGTTAGTTTGTTTTGAATTGTTTTATTGATATTTTGCTCTGCTGATGTTAATTTTCTGTCGAAAAAGCAGAGTATAGTGGTTATTTGACATTATACTTCTAAAGAGAGAGCAGGGGAAAAGTCATTTTTTTTTACTGAACATCATGTAATTAGAAATAAAACAAGTTTTAGATGCTTCAAATCTATATCTTTGACTGGTATTAGTCGAATTTAGCAGTATTTTTTCGACTAAAAAGAAAAGAATTGAGGAATCTTTTTCTGCTTGAGAAAGACGAGTATTTCAAAAGGTATTTCAGACCGATAAGGAGTAATTGAAACCAAAAAAAAAATGTTTTTCCTTGTTAATGTTGCTCGATTAAATTAGAAATTGGTGAGCTGCACAGCTGAATGAAGAAAAAAAAAGTTATGATACACTAAAAAAAAAATTATTGAAAGCTACCGTGGTAAAACTGTATATGGATAGGTGATGAATTAATTAAAT